CATCCGTCACCAGCCGGCTGGTGACACCGACACCAGGGCCCCGCAGAATACCGGGCTTGTTCTCCTGTCTGGCTGTTAGTGGTGATGTATGAATAAGCAGCGGAGACGGCTTCATTTTCATAAGTTAACTTGTGCCGAGAGTCAGGGAGACAGAGAGCAGCGCACTCAATCATAACCACAGGGCCAGCTTGGGAAACAATGACAAAGCCTTTTCTGTTAGTCACGGTGTTTTATTGTAATGACTCCTAAGGAGACGAGGTGGGAGGTGCACCATGCTGAGCCGGTCCGGTGGCACCCAGGGCATCTCCCCGGGAATCCCCGAGGTTTCCTTCCTAACGGGACGGCAGGCTGAGGATGCGTGCGCAAGATCAAGGTTGAGCCTTTGGACTCGGGTCTCTGGAGATCAGGATTTGGAGGCCACCAGGCCCACGAGCTTGGATGGCTGTCTCATCTGTACTGTGACAAGGGAGCAGAGGGGACCTCGTTGCTGGATGTCTGCTGCACGGCACCCTTACCAGAAAAGCTGTGGGGAAGTTGAGAGCTTGGAGGTCTGCACGGGAGGGTGAGGGGTCACACACGGAACAGAGCGGAGGACTAAGGAATTCTGAGGGTCATGGTAACTGCAAGTGAACACGACTCCAGCTTCCAGGCATTCATTCGTAGTGGTTTGAAAAAGCAAAGAACACAGCTTCATTTTCACAAATTAACTTGTGCCTGGAGAAAAAACAACAGCAACTAATTCTGGCCATATGTACCCTTATCAACTCCACTTTACCAACGAATGAAGAAACAGGCACAGACAGGTTAAGTAGCATACCCAGAGACACGCAGCTAGTAAGCAGAGGAGCCAGGATTCAAACCTGGTAGTCTGAACATGACATTCATTTTCTTCCCTATTTTGTTGTGCTCAAGAAGTAGAGCACTGGAGACCACCCCCCTCCTGAATATTGCTGGTTGATCGGCTGGATTTAGACACCACTTGAGTTTATCTTGTGCCAGTGACGCACAGGTGAACCTGACCTTTGAGGAAGGCAGACAGAGCTTCCAGACCTCTCCATCACTTATTCCCAAACTGTGACACTCATCTAAATTACCCATGGGTTTGGGTTTTTAGTGCCAATTACTAACTAGTCTCAGGATCAGAATTCATGTTCAGAAGTGTTGGATCTATAGGAATTAATATAGGGCGCTAAACCCACGCTCACATATACAGATACCGCCCAACTTAGAGGGGCAAGAGCAAAATGTCACCATATTTATTGACATGGGTGAAATTGGAGGACTCGGCCATGCATCCACAATGGATCCTCCTTAACCCAGAGCCCAGAATTGCACTTCCCCCAACCCCTCCTGGGACATGCCGAGCATGCTGAGGTCCTCACAGGAGGAAACCTGCCCTATAAACCCACCTGATGGAAGAGCAGATTGATGGCAAGCTCTCTGCAACTCTCCAGCTCCCAGAAGAAGGGATGGAAGAGGAAGCGAAGCTGTGTAACTTCTCTGAAGTTCACCAGTCAGGCAGCCCCATCCACACCAATGGGGAGAGAAGGGTTCAGCAGCAGAGGCCAGGAAATCCCCCCTCCAGAAACTAGAGAATCCAAGGAAGCAACCTCCTGATAACTACTAACCTCTAGGTTGTGGCCCTCACTGGTTCTGAGCAGAGCCTCCGTTCTTTCTGAAGCACGTGGCTTCCAAACCACACTTGGAGAAACAAAGCTTTGCCATGGCCTAATTGGGCTGGGTGACCGCCAAAGAAAGCTGCATGGCTAGGGGCTCGCTGGCTTTCAGAAGCTGGCCGGTTAGCTTGGATGATGATATTTATAAATAGCAACCAGTTATGTCTGCTTAATGTGTTCCACCCAGTACCGTAAGCACTCATTGGAACAGACATAAGTTATACAGCAGGCAGAGAGAGGTTAAGGGGTTTTCTCAAGGCTGCACAGCAAGCAAAATGTCAGAGCGAGAATGGGAAACAAAGTCTGACCCCGGACTCGGCACCCCTGGTCCCCAGCCGGGCTGCTCCTCGGGTCCTCTGTCCACAGATACCTCTGCCTGGGGGAGGCACTGAGCGGATCACTCAGGGAATCCATTAGCCCACACACAGAACTCCACACTGTTGAGACTAGGGAAAATTGCTTCTCCTCATTCCTGTTTTAATAATTGATATAGCGGCAAATGCATCCATTTAAAAGAGCAAAACGAAATCTTGGTGGCAGTTGATTGTTTTGTTTTTCCTCAACCGATGGATATTAAAATTATAACCATTGTGTTACTAAATAAGGATTTTTTTTAATGTGAAAAGATTATGGGCTGCCATCAAGGCAGCCCGGGTACAGATCGAGAGATTTGAATCTTCGTCTTGGCGATGCCGGGACTTCAGGGTGTCCCTGCAGATTCTTCCTTCTCTGGACGGTGAGACCTGGAATTCAAGCCTCAGCCGAGCAGCCGATGGAAGTGCGTGCTTCACACGTCTGCCTTGTCTTTGCATTTTCAACATGGGGAGGCAGAGGCTTGAGCTCACAGAGTGGACAATGTGTTGAGGTTGGGGGCGAGGGGAGGCTGAACTGCTGAAGACAACACACCCCAACATTAGCCTCATCCCGGTTGAGAGGGGTTTTCCCACCCGAATGAGTAACTACTTAGTGAGACTACTAATGTCTTAGTAGCAGACAGTGGCTAAACACCTACTGTGTGTCAGATACTCTGCAGTCCTTGCCTTGTGAACCAGTGCAGGAGATGGATATTTAACAAATAGGGTGTCACTGGGCCTCAATACTGCCCACTTGGTCCTTTAAAGGGCCTGAGTCACCTGAAGATAAAAGTACCCGCAGGAAGTACTGGGTAGAGATGTCTGTCACCTCATGTGGTCAAAGATAAAGGAACTTGGTTATTCGTGGGGCATCAAAGCTAGAGACAAGCCACAGAAGAACTGTGGGCAGGGTTTGGAAGGGACAAGGACAGTTCCTGCCCAGGGCCAGCTAAATAAGCAAGAGAGAGGTGACCACACAAGCTAGAAAAACATATTTCTGTTCGGCAGGAATGAAGTGTGGCTAGTGGAGGATTTGAGGAAGAAGATTGAGACTCCAAATCAATGTCGGGGGTGCGACAATACAGAATTTGGATTCTGATATCTGAAGATGTCCTTAGCTGGGATTCAGTTGGCCACCCTTAATTCAGTGAAAGCTCATTCCCTTTCATCAGTTCTTCATGTATGACACATTTTATCATGCCAGAAGAACAGGTAATACCAGCCGGGGCCCCTAAAACCATTGTGATACCAACCTGGGCTCCTTAGCCATCGAGAGTCGTCTCTCCCAAGCACCCCTTTGTGATCCACAGATACTAAGTGAGGTCTGCAGCTGGTCATCGCGGGCACTGCCCCTGAGCTAAGGACACCAGGCTTTCCTTCTAGGTCTATCTAACCGTTTTGCACACACATCCCAAACCTAGTTAGTTCATGTGGAATTGATTGGTGCTTGCCCTGCCTGGATTGGGGATGCATTTTTCTGAGGGATTCTACAAGTTTTGGATATGATCGGGTACAATGACAAAGTGGGCGGTAGTATTTTTCCCATGCCTCTAGTTTATGTATTTGTGCTCAGGTGATGATTTAGATAGGAGCCCAATAAATTGATCAAATAAATTACACCAAACCCACACACCGTCATCTCAGGGAGCTGTCATCCTACCAAGGAGGCCCTATATCACCCAGCATGGTATTCCACAAGGACCCCTGTGTTTTCTGAACATGCAGCAGGCTTTCCTTGGGTCAGAGAGTTCTTTGTTATTTCTCGGATTGGCCAGCATCCTAAGAAATTGCCCTTCGGAAGACTTCAGCCGGTTGTGAAAGACAGTGATGATTCAATGTGCAACTTTTAGCAAGTTCCTTAAACTCTTTGTTTCAGTTTCCCTTTCTATAAAACATCAATGTGTGATGCCTACCTCAAACTTTTGTCACAGAGGTAAGCAATAACGCACTCAGTCAAGTTACGGTCGGGTAGTGTGTAATTATACACAAGCTCCTGCAGGAATTGTGAAACCCCACTCTCCCAGTCGGTCAAATGATGCTGATGACAATTCTTAGAGAATGCCGTCTGCAAGTGGCAGGCCAGACTCATCTAAAGGAGGCCTATGTGGAGGGCCCAGTGACTCGCTCCCACCCATACTCCAGCATCGCATCCTAAGAGATGCACTGCAAGCCCCTCCCACCTGAGAAGCTGAGGTGCCACAGAGACAAGACCAATGTCACAGCCCAGCTCTGGGCACCCAGGTGCAATCATCCCTCTAGACTACACTCCTATGTGGATGTGATTCTTGTTGACAGAAGACATGGATTTATTTATTTGTGTTTTGTTTGTTTGTTTGTTTGTTTGTTTGTTGATGGTGCTGGGTATCACTCCCAGGGCCTGTGCATGCTGAGCAGGAGCTTTGCTAGGCAGCCACAATAAATCTATTTTGGAGGAAGCAATGAGTTTGAGCAAAAAAACATCGTAAGCAGCTGATCACAAGGTAGCTCTTTTCCTTGGTCTCATCTCTCCAACCACGGATCATTCCCTCCTCTCTGATAGGAGAAAACCATCTTGGTCCATGCTCAGAAAACAGATCAATTAATACACAGTGGGAAATATTGGACTTGGAATGATTGAAGACTAGTGTGTCCCATGATTTCTGGAATGAACACGCTTCCTTATGTGAGTGAATGAATAGCCGTGGATGCGGGCTAGGTCACAGATAACCTGGGTAACCTTGCACAGAGTCCTGGACTGCTCTGGGCTGCAGTCTTTCCTCCATGAAATGGGGAATAATAAATCAGGTGCCTGGTGGTGAGGATAACATGGGTTAACTCAGACTGACCAGGTAGGTCGGTATGTGGTACTTAGGAGACCGCCCCATGAACGGAAGCTATGGTAATGATGACCTGCCACCGTTGATCCCTGTGATCAGTCCTCACTAGTCCTGATACTGTGGTCCTCCTAAGCCTTTGTATTCTCTGTTTACAGGTCAGCAGGTCCTGGGCTTGGTAGAGAACCAGAGTGACTGGTACCTTGGAAACCTGTGGAAAAATCACCGCCCGTGGCCAGCCCTTGGGAGGGGCTACAACACAGGTGAGTCTCCAGGGTGGTGTGGGCAGGGGTTCCAGAGGGACCTGTGCTGTAGGTATTCAGGATTTGTCTCATTGCTTGTGTTCACCTATGGGGTGAGGAAGTAGCAGAGGTCATGTTATCTCTTAAATTTTCTTAATATTGCATTGGCTAAAGCATGTCATGTGGCCATTCCATCCTGTAAAGGGGAGGGCAGGTACCACCTACCGTGCACCTGGCCAGAGAAAAGGCAGACCTTTGGAAATCAGTACTTCTGAGCACACAGTGTGTTGTCTAAAATCAGATCCTTGATTCCACCTTCTACCACCCCAAACTTGCTTCTTCCGTTTCCCTTTTGGTTCATTCATTCCACTGTTCCATTTCCATATTATTCGCTCTTTCCTCTGTGCTTTATCTGACTGCTTGCTGGGTCCTAGGCCCCAAGCTGGCGTTAGACATACTCTGTGACCTCATGGAGTGAGTGAGCATGGAACTCCAGCAACCTGCCCCACCAGGCTCAGTGCCTGCCAGTGTCTGGCTGTGGAGGCCTCTGGGTCCTCTGCCTCTCCCTCCCATTTGCCTGCTGTGGCTCCCTGTCCGTCAAGCATGCCCATCTTTTTCATAATTAGAACTTGGAGCTCAGGGAGCAATGGGGTAAGTCAAGCCAAGATAGGAGGGACTCAACATCTGAGTCCAGCAAGTATTCGGGTTAGGGACAGGTGTCTGGGGATAGGCACAGACACCTGAAGATGCTATGCAAAGCCTATTCTGGAAGCTAAAGCCAATCTGTAGTGAGAAAAGCCAAAAAGTCAACTCTGAACCCTGATATGCAACTCCAGAAAAGTTGAATAAAACATGGGCTCGCAGCGGGAAAAGGACACGAGACAGAGACCGAGTTGGCAGTCCAGTAATATAGTCATAATGGGTCAGAGCTGGAGGAGGACAAGGAGAGGCCAGGGGATGTCCTGAGCAGTCAGATGTGCAGCCACAGAGCCCTGTGTGGAGGCCGGCCAGCGTTCCTCCTGGCATGGTCACCTCAGTGTCACTTTTTGGGCATATGGAGGTCACCTTGGAAGAATTGTAACCACCCACCCTTGTCAGGAGGCTCCCCTGCTGTGCTGGGCATTAACCCTTTAGTTGCTGTATAGCTGGGAACTCTGAGGGGTCCCTAAGAGGGGCCTGGATGGGGAAAGGGACTGAAAAGAATCAGCGGCAGTAGGGAAGTGCTTCAGCTTTTCAATAGCTGGGGAGGCTGTGCCTCTAGGGCCTCTACCAGCTGAGTGAGAGCCAGGCTCTCTGCCAGGTGCTTCTTGGGCGATAATCTCATTTGATCCTCACTCTCACCCATGAGGCAGGCTCTCTGCTTATCTCTGTTTTATCCTAGAGGAAACCGAAGCTTCGAGTTTAAGGAGCCTGGTGTTCACTACTGACCTTCCTAGCTTGAACTTTAAGGGCTTCAGCATCAAACACTTTCTGAAAATGGAGAATCCCGGACTCTGCCCTTTAAGAGCCTGGTTAGGTCTGTTGGGGGAGCCCAGGATCCTGCCCTGCAGGCGGCCTGGAGAAGCCAACCAAGGAAAAAGGAGAGGGCTTTGTGTGCTCTCCACTGGGAAGGAGATGGGCACCCGAGCTTGTTTGGGTGGGAGAAGGGACATCTCGGATAAACCCTGGCGTGTCCATTTAGCTTCTGGGCCTCGAAACACATAATAATAGGAAATGGCCCCGGGGGGAGGCAGGATGGGGCCTTGGTTGTCTGTTGAAAACAACAAGCCTCTGGTCATCTAAATGGGCTTTCAGGGAAAAGAAAAATGCAGCACCCTGGAGAATTTATTATGAGAAACATGGTGTGTCCCTTATTTGCTGCAGAGTGTGGAAATGGGAGGCACCTGAGCCAACCCAGCTCTTACTTGACATGCCCAGGCAGTGAGTCGCTGCCCTCCTTGCTGGGACTAAAAGGGCAAAGCACATGGAGGAAAGCCCTGTTAGGAGCCATGTGTCCATTTAAATCACGCCAGTGACACCAGGTGATCCTTGTAAAAGGATTTATGCAACACTGAGATGCACTGGCTCTCATGATGGAGATTTGTTATTTTAAGACCAAGAATTGTGGCACACATCAGCAGATGAGTCATCCAGACATTTAGGTTCTCATAGAAATTGAGGACTCTGCCAGAGGGAACCTGCCACCCTGAATCCCAGCCATCTCGGCCATGCAAACAGGGTCTCTCCAGCAAAGGCACTGAGGTGCTTTTGGCATGATGTTGAGGGGTGTTAGAACACCTGGGTTAGGACCATGTCAGGGCCACTTGTCCCTGCATGAGCAAGGTCACTTGCTCCATCTGTTTGAACCTCTTTCCTTCATTGTAAAGTAGGATGATAACACTGAGCGTATGAAGATCTCCAAGTTAGGAAGTCATCGAAGGAGCCTAGCCTTCTGTTTGGCATGTAGTAATCCACTGCATTTTTCTACCACTTATTCAGTCAGGGCATGAGATCCACCCTCTCTGAAAACAATGGGATGGCTACGTAGCTAAGTGCACTTTGCTAAGGTCTCCCAAGCCCTCAGGTCAAAAGCAGCCAGTAAGTTTTTCTGTTTTGCCCAAAAATAAAGCAGCCACTTTTGACATTTCTGTCTCATCTCTTCACTCTCTGGAAAAGGGGTTTGCTTTTCATATTATTTTAAGAAAAAAATGCCTATTTTAGTTCATTGATCAGCTTCTTGACCATTTTATGTAGCCAATTTCCAGAAAATGCATGAGCCGTTTCAGTTGGATAATCTGCCTTCAAGACCTGACTTGGTCACTTTTAGACTCTCTGCCTTTTGGAGAGCTTTCCCAAGCTCAGCAAGCTCAGACCTCCTCATCTGTTACCCAGCTGAGAATCCTGCCTGGGAGCAGGCCCTGTGGCTCTGTGGTGCCAGAGCAGCCGCAAGTGCCAGTAACCAGAGCATTTCAGGAACTTGTAGTTTTTATTTCTCTTCCTGACCCTATCCTGAGTAACCATTTGCAAATATTCAGATTCAGCCCAGGCATCGCTATGCATGATCTTTCTTGAACCCTAGAATTATCTGGTAAAGTAGCATTTCTCCTTAAATGATCCGGCGTGGTTCCCACTTTCTCTTTTTTTTTTTCCCTTTCTCAAAGGACCCCAAAAGTTTAGGAAGATGCACTCTTCCTCTCCCCTTTCATCTTGAGGAAGATGTTTGTCACTTATTTCTATATGAAGGAGGCTACTAAGCCATAGCAGCTGTGAATGACCAGGCAGATCCCAGCACCAGCTCTTGCCCATAATGGTTCAGGTGGACTTAAGGGCACCTCTCACATCCTTGCACAGAGAAGGTCCGTCCCCACTGTATCCATGTGTCAGTCACCTCCTAGGAGCAAGAAGCTGTCATTCACAGAGCATGCAGCTGTCAGCAGGACTTCAAAAAAAAAAAAAACAGGATTTAACAGTCTTATTAAGATTCAACACATTTCAGTTTATAAGCTGACGGGTGAATATCTTAAAAAGCGAACATCAGCCAAGGAGCGGGGAGGGCAGGGTGAGGTGAGGGAGGCAGGTGGGGGAACAAGGTGGCAAGTTCACAGCTAAGCCGGTTGGCACAGATGCCAGAGGTAACTGGAGGAGCAGTGTGTCCTCCCAAGACGAAGGACATCATGTTGGCCAGAAGACTTCAAACACAACTTAAGAATAAAATACATCACATTCCTTTCTGTCCCCAAATTAGGCCAGAGACAGGGAGATGGAGAACTGGCTCTCTAGAGAGGGAGGGAAATTTTCTGTAGAAATCCTTATCTGTACAGCAACAAAATTGGGACATTCAAGGACTGACTCACCTCTGGGATTGAAGCAAACACTGGGCCGTGAGGAAGTGGAACGTGATCGGTGATAAAGTCAGACACTACGGTGCATTCTGTGACAGGGATTCAAAAAAAGAAAGCAGTTGACAATTTGAACTGGAAACTGAGAACCACATGGCTGGAGTCGTATGCAAAAGTCAGGGGTAGGTAACCTGACACCTCTTGGCCTATGGCATTGGCTTCTGAGATCCTGAGCACACCCCTTCATTTCTTTGAGCTTTAATTGTCTCTTTGGTCAAGTCCCTTAATGATTGAAAAATATTGCACTTGGATGATCTCTATAATAATTGCACCCAGACAAATGAGACTTAAATGTAATTCATTCTGTACTTACTACTAAATAGCTATTATTGTGGCAAAGTTGAGGTAGAAAGATTCTTTCTTTCCTTTTTTATTTTTAAATGGGTGTTTGACTGCCTGTGGATACCTATGATTTTGCTCTTTGAAAGTGACAACTGGACCTGATTGATGTGTACCAACTGTTGGAGGGCCACATTTGGCTTGGATAATTCAGCCCACTGTCCTGAGTCACTGACAACACCTGTGCACCTGGGATGTCCAGCCCTCACCCAGGGAGGGTGGATCTGAATCTCGGGATGGGGCTGGGCCTGTGGCTCCAGAGCTTCCTCGTCCAGGCTCTTTCTGAATCCCTTTACTACTGCTTAGCACCTCAAGCTCCAGCTGAACTCAAGTTCAACTAAAAAGCTGCCTGAACGACTGCTCAGCAGACGCTTTCTGTTCTGTGCTTCTGTAGTAGATTCACTGAGCCTCAAGCACAGATGTTCTATTTATCGCTGGTGAGTTTTATCTGATTTGGGTCAATCTTTACATCATTTCATTAGACTTGATTTTTGTTCTCATCTACAAATTTGTGAAAATGCCTTGTGTTCATTCAGCCTTGCCCCCATCTCACAACATCTTTTGAATGCCTCTTGTACCATCCTAAAATCAAATTCAAATGTATTATACGACCTCCAAATATAATTTTTTTTTTTACAAAATCAATATAGGGGCCTGGCTATAATACAATGAAGAAATAAAGGGAAATTAATTTATTACTTCAACTGGGAATGAGTTTGGTAACTCTGGCTTGCCTGAGTCAGATGACACGAAGCATGGTCAGCTGCTGCTGTGCCTATGTTCAGGATAGAACCATCTTCTTTG